CATATGCCGCTGAAGATATCCTTTTAATGTGGGCCTCTTAGGATAGGTTCAGTGTGATATCAACCCCCAAGATCTTTCTCTCTATTTGATTCTTGTAGAATTTCACCTCTCAGATGGTACCTTGTGTTCAGCCTTCTGCTCCCTTCGCCTAATTTCATTACTTTGCACTTTCCTGAGTTAAACTTTTGTAACCATTTTCTAGACCATTCCTCCAGCCTGTCCAGGTCATCCTGTAGTCTCTGTCAATCATCATCTGTCTTGATTCTTCTCATAATTTTTTCACCATCAGCAAACATTGAGAGGAATGAGTCTATACCCTCTGGAAGATCGTTTAAATATATTTGAAACAGGATAGTCCAAGTACAGAGCCCTGTGGGATTCCGCTGGTGACATCTCGTCACCCTGATGTCTCCCCCCCTCACCGTTACTCGCTGTTTCCTGTTGCTTAGATACTCCCTTATCCACTGGAGCATCTTTCCTTTTACTCCTGCCTGTTGCTCCAACTTTCGTAACAGCCTTTTATGGGGTACTGTGTCAAAAACTTTCTGACAGTCCAAGAAAATGCAGTCTGCCCACCCTAGGTTAGAGGTACTCACCCAACTGTCCTTGCGAGGGTTGAGCTCTGGCTCTTTGGTCCCGCCTCTCAACGGTCAATCAACTAATGTACAGGTTCCTGAGCCTATTGGGCTCTATCATATCTACACTTAAAGCTGTGTATGGAGTCAGCCATACTTCATAGCCATCACTTCCTAATGTATTCCATTTGTCTACTACTCTGACACTGAAAAAAATCTTTCTAACGTCTCTGTGGCTCATTTGGCACTCAATTTCCACCTGTGTCTCCTAGTACGTGTGCCCCTTGTGTTAAAAAGTCTGTCTTTATCTACCCTATCAATTCCTTTGAGAATTTTGTATGTGGTGATCATGTACTTTCTAACTCTTCTGTCTCCCAGTGACGTAAGGTTTAATTCCCGTAGTGTCTCCTCGTAGCTCATACCCCTCAGCTGGGGTACTAGTCTGGTGGCAAACCTTTGAACTTTTACCTGTTTAGTCATATTCTTGACTAAATATGGACTCCATGCTGGGGCCGCATACTTAAGGATTGGTCTGACATATCTGGTATATAATGTTTTGAAAGATTCCTTACACAAGTTTCTAAAGGCCATTCTTATGTTAGGCAACATTTCATATGCCGCTGATGATATCCTCTTGATATGAGCTTTAGGGGATAGGTCTGACGTGATATCAACCCCCAGGTCTTTCTCTCTCTCTGACTCTTGAAGTAATTCGTCTCCCAAATGATACCTTGTATCTGGTCTCCTGCTCCCTACACCTATCTTCATTACATTACATTTTCTTCGGTTAAACTCTAACAACCATTTGTTCGACCATTCCTGCAGCTTGTCCAGGTCTTCTTGAAGCCTCAAGCTTTCCTCCTCTGTCTTAATCCTTCTCATAATTTTGGCGTCGTCAGCAAACATCGAGAGGAATGAGTCAATACCCTCCGGGAGATCATTTACGTATATCAGAAACAGGATAGGTCCGAGTACAGAGCCCTGTGGGACTCCACTGGTGACTTCACGCCAATTTGAGGTCTCACCCCTCACTGTAACTCTCTGCTTCCTATTGTTTAGGTACTCCTTTATCCACTGGAGCGCCCTACCAGTTACTCCTGCCTGTTTCTCCAGCTTATGCATCAGCCTTTTATGGAATACTGTGTCAAAGGCTTTCCGACAGTCCAAAAAAATGCAGTCCGCCCATCCCTCTCTTTCTTGCTTAATTTTTGTCACCTGATCATAGAATTCTATTAAGCCTGCACGGCAAGATTTACCCTCCCTGAACCCATGTTGATGGGTTGTTACGAAGTCTCTTCTCTCCAGATGTGTTGCTAGGTTTTTTCTCAGGATCTTCTCCATCACCTTGCATGGTATACAAGTTAAGGACACTGGCCTGTAGTTCAGTGCCTCTTGTCTGTCACCCTTTTTGTATATTGGGAATATATTGTATATTAGCCGTCTTTCATATTTCTGGTAGGTATCCCCTTTCCAGTGACCTACTATACACTATGGATAGTGGCAAACAAAGTGCTCCTGCACACTCTTTCAATACCCATGGTGAGATTCCGCCCTGGCCAACAGCCTCCACCCCCAAGAAGCAGCCTGTGACTGCTGACTAACTCACAGGTACCTATTTACTGCTAGGTAACAGGGACATTCAGGGTAAAAGAAACTTTGCCCATTTGTTTCTGCCTGGTGCGGGAATCGAACCCGCGCCACAGAATTACGAGACCTGCGCGCTATCCACCAGGCTACCAGGTGTGTGTGTGTGTGTGTGTGTGTGTGTGTGTGTGTGTGTGTGTGTGTGTGTGTGTACTCACCTAATTGTACTCACCTAATTGTGCTTGCGGGGGTTGAGCTCTGGCTCTTTGGTCCCGCCTCTCAACCGTCAATCAACTGGTGTACAGATTCCTGAGCCTATTGGGCTCTATCATATCTACATTTGAAACTGTGTATGGAGTCAGCCTCCACCACATCACTTCCTAATGCATTCCATTTACTAACTACTCTGACACTGAAAAAGTTCTTTCTAACGTCTCTGTGGCTCATTTGGGTACTCAGCTTCCACCTGTGTCCCCTTGTTCGCGTCCCACCAGTGTTGAATAGTTCATCCTATTGTGTGTGTGTGTGTGTTTTGTGTGTGTGTGTTCATCCTATTGAATGTGTGTGTGTGTGTGTGTGTGTGTGTGTGTGTGTGTGTGTGTGTGTGTGTGTGTGTGTGTGTGTGTGTGTCATAAATTGTGTGATTATTGAACGGGGAAAACATTTTTCACCATTAAAAATCTGAAAAACACACTAACAACTCAAAGTCGAATTGATATTCCTTGCAGAAGGTCGTATTATATTATGTACTCCTCTAGTGCATTACATTTGTACTCGTGTAGTATATTTGTACTCCTGTAGTTTATATGTACTCTACTAGTTAATTTTTTTTCTCGTAGTTTTTTGAACTTAAGTAGCTTTTTTTGAGTACTGCTGCATTTAATTTGCACACTTGTAATTCATATGTACTTACTCCTGTAGTAAATTTGAACATCTGTATTTAATTTGTTGAATACATAACCAAGCCAGAGATGTGATTTACTAAAAAAAAAACAGACATCCAACATCCTTAACCATATAAGGAAAATGTAAATGAATAAAGGAAAATAATAATAATAATTGAAAAACAATACAAATTTATATAATACCACAAAACGTAACTTAACGACTCAAAAGTATCGAGGCATATCCAGCACACACACACACACACACACACACACACACACACACATACACACACACACACACACACACACACACACACACACACACTTCTAGATATAATAATAAAGATAACATTAGCTAACAAAGGTAGGGAAAGGCGTTGAGAAGGGATTATTAACAGTGGTTAAAGCAGGCGCAGATAACACAGGGTCCAAAAAAGAGTGGGAGTAAAACAGCGATGGTCAGAACTGGAGACACTGCAGGAGGGGAAGTGTACTCTCTTGCCCTGGGGGAGGTCCTCGGGGTGACTTCTCCACTTGCAGAGTCCGGCATGAAGGCGAGGCTGCTGCAACAGACGCTGGGTGAGTCCCCAGGGGGGAGAGTTGGGCAGACAGCCAGAGAAACTGGGTGAAAATTTAAGGGGAGAGCGAAAGAGAGTTTTGGGGGAAAATATAGAGTTTGGGTTAAAGGATGAACATAGAGGAATACAGATACAAAAAAAATGAGATGCAGAGCGAGAATTCGGACACAGAGAGAAGACAGGTTGGAAGAGAAAAATGAAACGAAAGGACAGATAAAAAGAGAGGGAGAATTGAGGAGTGTAGAGAGATATAGACATCGATGAGACAGCGCTCGAAAGAAGTGATAGGGAAATAAAAAAAATAGGAGCGTTGAAAAGAGAAATAAGCAAATAAAAAAAAAGAATGGGGGAAATACTGTCGAATCCAAACACTAGATGCTGCGTCTCTGATGTTCGATACTGGTGAAGAGAAAGGAGGACTCTGCAGGAGAATGAGGATCCTATAGGATGAGGATCTTGCAGAATGAGGAAGAGACAGAGGAGGAGGAGGAGGAGGAGGAGGAGGAGGAGGAGGAAAAAAAATTATTCAGAAGTAGGAGGATCATGAAGGGGTGAGGAAACTGCATGAGTAGACTGATCCTTCAGCAGGATGAGGAGGATGAGTAGAAGGATGTGCAGACGGAAGATGAGGAGAATCCTGCTCTAGGAGGAGGAACTTGCAGGCCCGAGCAGGAGGAGGGGGGGGGAAGGACACAGAAATATATACATTGTCAAATATTATGATATGTGAATAAACACCTGCTCTAAGAACCCAAAGAGAAACCAAAGATCCGTTCCCAAACACATCAAATATAACTAGAATCTTAATTTTTCTATAATATATATAATTCTATATTAACCAGAACTCCTCGAAAATTTTGATTGATTTGAGTGATTGCCAAATCAATGTTAATATTTGGTAAGTTAATAACGAAACAAAATCAAAATTTTTATCATTTAAATAGACAGGCAACGATATAAAGTGTCAACGGGATCAAGAGCTAACGAGACCGAAATAACGGAACCAAACGGATCCAACGGAACTGAACCGAGAACTCGCAGTTTAAGCTAAAAAAAAAAGCTCAAAGGATAGTACATGCCTGTGGTTAATGCTACTAAATAGTAGTAGTCATAGAAACAGTAGTCGCAATAGTTGTCGTAAAAGAAGTAGTAGAGATAACTATCGCAGTAGCGCCTACCGTAGTAGTAACAGAAGTAGCAAGTAGCAGTAGGAGATCCAGCAGTAGCAAGTAGTTAATCCAGAAGTTACAGTAATATGTATTAATCAATAGGAGCTAAATAGTAGTACGTTGTTATTTGTTTAAGATTCGCTACCTGGAACCAAAAGTTCCAAGTAGCACGGACTATGGTGAGCCCGAAGTAAATAGTAGCAGTACCTGGTGGAGGGAGAGTAGTTTTACTGCGGCAGTAGAGAGCGATGACCATCCTGCAGCGATGCCAGACACAAGAGGACACCACCAGGAACACGACCAGGGCCGTCAGTACCGCCAGTGATGCCCTGTACTGCCCAGCCAGCAACGTCATCCCGGAGACTGCAAGGCAACACGCTAGGTTAGTTAGTTATTATTAACATCTTTATTGACATAATTAAATTACAATTTTGCCTAATCTGAGGATTTCAATTAAGTCTTATTAAAGTGAGGATAATGCTGGTATTCACTGTCACGCAGGACAGAGGGTCATACACAAGACATTAGGTCTAAACTGTAGGCTGAAGCACATATAAATTATGGTTACAATCAATGTTTTAATGTATGAATATGTAAAGAATGTAAACACATATTTCTATTGTGCACTGCCACACAAGGGCAGGGATGGGTTCATAAGAGATGCAGCTTAAAAATAATATAAATAGAATTGTTCTTCATTCTTTAAAATGGACAAGCAAATTTTGGATAAATTGTTAGGATGTCGTCCAGTACACCTGAGTCAATGAAATATTTACACAGTTGGTGGTACAAGAGGCCAGGAGGTCTAAAATCATATACGGTTTCACAGTCAACAACAATGTATTCTAGTGAATACATTAAAGGTTTGTCGCAGAGTTTACAATCTGAATATTCTGGTAGTTGATCAATCTCACTAACCTGCCAGATGTGTCTATAGCCAAGGCGAATAACAGCAATGACTATCACATTGCCTGGTCCGGTTACTGTACTGGCCATACAGCAGGAGCTTTTGGGTGTGGGAGTACCTGGGATGGGAGTATCTAGGGTGGGAGTGATTGGAGTGGGATCACCTGAGGTTGGAGTGGGATCACCTGGGATTGGAGTGGGGTAAATTATGGTTTGAAAATCATATTTATCCCCCTCATATGTGATTCTCACTAGTAAACATCAATATAAAGGGGCGATCCTCTGTTTGAGATCATTCACGATAATCAGGAATCAAATAGGACCTCGTACAGACCACTGTGGGACCTTAATACGCCTATGATGTGTCACGTTGTGTGTGCCTCATTGGTCTGCCTTATCCACTGGAGCATTCTCTCTCTGCCACTCCCTCCTGATACACCAGCTTGTGCGTTAGTAGCATGTGGGCTTAACATTCGCTGCCTAGCTTTATCTCTATCGCCCGTTTATTGAATTATATCAAGTTGGTGAGGTTTGATTTTCAGTCCCCGAACCCATGCTGGAGTTCCATCGTTATAGACCTTCTTTCCTGATGCGCTATTGGTTAGTTGCTTACACTATTCCCAATCACTTTGCATGATTTGTCTATAACAAATACTGGGGGTTCTTGTGGTGGTGATTGTGGTGTTGCTGGTGGTTGTGGTGGTGTTGCTGGTGTTACTGGTGGTTGTGGTGGTGTTGCTGGTGGTTGTGGTGGTGTTGCTGGTGTTACTGGTGGTTGTGGTGGTGTTGCTGGTGGTTGTGATGGTGATATTGCCGGCAGCTGCAAAGGGCAAGGACATCATCTCCCCTTACATCATCAGGGCAAGGACAGTATATTCTTTCCCCATTCTTCAGGACATACAAAATATACGCATACATGATCATGATAAGAACTCCATTGTCCCAATTCACTTTCAGTGCAAAACAACATATCCCTCATACATCATTCGACACGGATACTATCTTCCCATTTTACATTCAGACAAGGGCAGTATCCCTCTTAATACATCATGAGGACAGCATTTCCTAAATACATCAAGAGGACAGCATTTCCTAAATACATCAAGAGGACAGCATTTCCTAAATACATCAAGAGGACAGCATTTCCTAAATACATCAAGAGGACAGCATTTCCTAAATACATCAAGAGGACAGCATTTCCTAAATACATCATGACAGCATTTCCCCTACATATCAGGACAGCATCTCCACAGAACACATCATGAGCACAGCATCTACCCCTAATATATTAGCAGAGTATAGTATCTAACCCCCATACGTCATCAAGACAGCATCACCTCAGGTGCTACTCACCGCCTCTGTCCAGCGTCAGGTTAAGGCTAAGGTTGCCATGTTGATTGATGACGGTACAGCGATAGTGACCGAAGTGTGCCACCTCCACCCTCCTGATCTCCAGGCTGCTCCACATGTTTCCATCTCTGTAGGACAATGGTGTGGAAGATGAGATGATGGGGAAGGAGAAAGACAATGACGAGGAAGGAGGAAGACAAGGACGAAGAAAGAGGCGAAGAGGAAAACATGATAAAAACAATATTCAAACATTGTTAGTATTCACATTATATGTGACATATATATATATATATATATATATATATATATATATATATATATATATATATATATATATATATATATATATATATATATATATATATATATATATATATATATATATATATATATATATATATATATATATATATATATATATATATATATGCGAACACGCTTGAATGGTCCT